TACTGTTTATTGAGTACTTCCTATGTGCCAGGCATGTGCTAAGCATTTTATATTAATCAATCAATTAATTAATATATTATGAATACCTGTATCAACACATTACTAATACATTATTATACATTGCTAATACATCATTATTATAACAGCCCTAGAAGGTATTTGTTCATTTGTTCAACAAATATCCATTGCCAGGCCTTACCCTAGGTGCTGGGGATATGACAGTGAACAAAATAAAGTCCCTATTCTCATGTAGCTTAGCTAATAGGGGGAGATAGACAATAAACACATAAACATACGACTATATAGAATATCAGATGGTAAAACGTGCTATGGAGAACAATTGAACGGGTGAAAAGCATAGGGATTGTGAGGTAGGGAAGGTGTGGGAGGGAAGGCATACTATTCTACGTATTGTCTCATTTTTTATGGCTGATTCCAAATGCCACACTGGGTTGTACAGCATAATGGTTATAAGCCCAGTTTCTGGAATGACAGAGATCCAGATTTGACTCTGTATTCTCCCACTGACAAGTGATGTGACCCCAAACAAGTTATTTCTGAGCCTCAGTTTCCTTATCTGTAAAATAAGGATAATGACACTTCCTAGGATTGTTGGGAGGATTAAATCAAATCAAATTAAAGGATCCACATAAAGCACCGCCTGGCACAAAACAGATGCTCTGAACTTATTATTTGCCTTCTTCATTGACCTCCTACATGGATATTCATTCCATGTAAAATACCTGATAACGGCTGCCGCCATAGAAAAGAAGCCATTAAAAAATAAAAGCCCCCAGCTTGGCAATAGAGGATCGACCTGTGCTGGGTAAAGGAAATTGGCCAGGTAACTTGTTAAACCTATGCTGGTGCTTCCTTCTAGAAACAAAAATAGAAGGCCCTTGGGACACATATGGCAATAGCTTTTATTTTTTTTTTTCTGCATGGAATTAATGTGACAGGGAAGACAAGCCTGTTATGTGATGAAGCAGCAGGACTAGAAGCGGATCTAAGCTGTCCAACAAGTTCAGAACTAGATGACACAGATCTTCAACTCTACAGGCAGGGTTGGGGCTTATGGAGCCAGCAGCCCCTCGGGTAGGGTCTATCCTATCTGGGCTCTACCCTTTGCCATTTTGCAGGTTTCTGCTCGAGAGGAGAGTCCTCAGCTGGCTAGAGTGGCTGTGTGTGTGTGTTTGGGGTGGGGTGGGGGCTTCTTAGGAATCAGGTGAGGTTTTAGAGGTCTGGTGTTGGTACACTTAACCCTGCCCTGCTGGTCTCCTTCCCTGTGCGGGAGGGGGTGCTGGGGGGACTGTGAGCCGAAGGAGCAGGAGCAGGATGCGGATCAAAGTCTGTTTTGTCAGCTGCTGCTGAAGTACTCAAAATCCCGATGTACGATTCTGATAAGGGCCTGAGCTGGAGCATCCAGGAAGGTGGACGCTTGAGGCCTAACCTGAGCCTATTCTTCCCGCCCGATGAGACTGGCTCATCAGGCAGGGTCTAGTCAGGAGGCAGAAACCACAGAGGGATGTGACGAGAGAAGTGAAAGGAAAGAGCTGTTAAGTGGGTATCAGATTGTTCCTAGGTAACGGAAACGTCTCTGAAGGAGCTCTGAGGCCTGTGGAGGTACGGCAGTTACCATCTCTAGGGCTGAGAGAACAAAGGGGAGAGACTGGAATTATTACAATCTAGAAACTTGGAGGAGGGTTCCTGCAGAATTGAAATTCAGACCTTTGACAATGGGGGCTGCCCAGCTGGTGCTGGTGTCTCTGAGGGGCAGCCCCGAGGCTGGTTGTGCAAGTGCTGCATAATGCACACTAGATCCAGTTGCTGCTACAAGGAGAAACTGGTGCGGCGGGGGGGGGGGGGGGGGGGGGGGGGGGTGGGGGCATTGCTAGGCGACACTAAGAGGAACAGGAAGCAGACAGGAAGGAGTGTGTCTCTCATCCCTCCTCCAGCCTCACCATCTCCCTCTACCTCCCCCTTTGGCAGAGCCAAGCAGGTAGTCCCCCCACACCCCCCCGGGGGGCTGATCAGAAATGTGGCCTGCAGAGCCCCAGTTTCAGCATCAGATGAGTAGATTAGAGAAGTGTGGGGTGACAGCTGACACGTGATAGCTTAGTAAGTGGCATTCATGCCACGGTAAGCTCTGGTGAGGAATGCAAGCATCAACAGGCATGGTGGCTTTCTGAGCCCGGAAGGGAGTAGGGGATGGCTCAGCTTACTGCCTTTGGAGCAGAAAAGGAAATGCAAGAGCCAGGGAACTGAGCATGGCCGTCTGCCTTCCACACCTACTAGTGAAATACAGCCCCCCAAAGTACTGTGTGCTTATCAGATAAAATAGCAACTCCTCCCCTGGGGAGTGGGGCGGGATCCCGGCAAGGGACTGGACTGAAGAAGGCAGAGATAGGACAGGGGGCTTCCATCACCTATTTCCCCTCACGGGGGAGGAGTAGAAGCAGTAGTATGGGTATCGTGTGTAGCTTGGTGCTGGGCACATAGTAGGCATTCCATAAACGGTGGCTCTTATTCAAAGGAAGGAAAGGTGCACATAGGTTAGGGAAAGAAGTAGCTGGCTATAGTGGAGAGAGCCCAGAGTTTGGACTCAGAAGACCTGAGTCCATACGAGGTAAGTGACTTGGAGCAAGATACTTGCCTCTCTGAACCTGAAGCTTCCTTATGTGTAACATAGAGATGATACTTGTGGGGGCTAAATCTCTTCTAGCAGCCCCTTCGCGTATGGTAGCTATTTTGTCCCATTATTAATTATAGAAATAGTAAGCGTGATTATTTCTTATCGGTGGTGCTAGCCCTAAGTAGAAGAAACTGTAGTGATCATTTATTCCACTGCATCATTGTGCAGATGAAGAAACTGAGACGCAGCAAAAGGTCAGTAGGTCTACGGAGGTTAAGTGAGACCTGGCTTCCGTTCTGCACTGTGCATTTCCACTTAGTGGCTAAGTGACCTTAAGTAGTCTGTCTCAGCTTCTCGGTGTGGCAAGGACTGTGGAAATGAATCCATGGCCTGGCCCTCAGTAAGTGCTCGGTAAATAGCCCTGGGACAGTTCCTTTGCGCTTGACGAACAGAGAGAGCCCCTGAGGTGAGGGTTGGCTGGTCATGACAGGGACTGTCCCATAGAACAGACCTTGCAGGTGAGCCTGGGCTCTCTGTAATGATACAGTGAGAACACTTGAGATTTTGAGCCTCCCAGTCATTTGCTTTGCGATATTGAACAAGTCACTCTTACTTCTTCTCCCTGTGGTGTTCCCCTATAAAGATCGTGATATTTGACCTTATGTCTATTGCCTGGGGTCTTCTGGAAGCTGAATAATGAAATGAGTGTCTCTGGAACCAGAGAGTCTTGGAGAAACTCATAAATAAATACCCTCAGATGACTAGCATATCTAATGTACCACAGCAGTATTAAGCCAAGGATACTGGGACTGGAGGCTAGAATCCTGCTTTTAGAATTCAAATTGTTCTTGTTATAGTCAACTCTTAATTTTTATGTGCTAACTGGGAAAAATTATAGCATGAATAAAAGAAGCCAGCTGGTGTTGATTGCTCTTCGCTCGAAAACTTGAGGAAGGCATAAGAGACTATATTTTAAATCTCGTTATCTCTCACCTGATCGCTTTCTTCAAAGCCATGAAGCTACAGGATGATTCAAAGGCTCAGAGCCCCAGAAGAGAGTCAGTGTACTGAATAATCCACAAACAAGACGATGCTTATCACTATAGTAGCCGTTTGTTTAGCCATTTATTAACCAGGCATGGGGATAAACTCTTCATCCGTAGTAGCTCATTTCATCCTTATTGTAACGCTATGAAGGAGGGAGGTGTGTTCATTTATCCATCTGTCTTGTATCAGTTGAATCTCAGGTACAGAAGCTGGAGTGAATCATACTTTTCAATTCATCGTACATTGTCATCACTGGTCTGTGCGAGACCCTTTCTTATGTTAGCTAATTAATTTGCTTGTTCCTTTTTACCCACGTACACTATATTCATTCACCCCCCCCCATAAATAACCAATCTATTTTTTTAGTGTCTTTGCCTTTGTATATTCTTATGAAGTATATATTTTGGTTTTGTGTATGTGTGTTTTAAATTTATATAAAATGACATCATGTTATATTTCATTGTCTCTAACTAAAACTGTTCTCACTAAAGCACTATATTTTTAAGCCGCATCCATGTTGCTATGGGTTTATTTAATCTGTTGCTTCCAGTTGTGACATAATAGGACATGGTGTGCGCCCACCACGGTTACACATTCTCCTACCCAGCAATGGCCATTCAGACTGTGTTGGGGTCAAACTCCCTACTGCTACAAGCAAAGAAACACTGTATCCCCATACGTCTCCCTTAAGGGCTGTGTGAGGATTGCTTGGGGGTATATAGTGAAGAATGGAATTGCTACTTCATAGGGATACATAGAATGTGAATATACCTGAGTAGTGCCAGAGGTAGGTGCTGTTATTTCCCCCATTTTACAGGTGAGGAAACTGAGGCTTTGAGAGTTTTAATAACTTACCAGAGTCACACAGACAGTGATTAGCATAGCTGGGATTCAAATTCAGACCTTCTTGCCCCCCAAAATTCTACCCTCCCCCCCCCCCAAGAGAGAGTGCACGTAAGCAGGAGGGCAGGGGAAGGGGCAGAGGGAGAGAGAATCCCAAGCAGAGCCTGACTCGGGGCTCCAACCCACGACCCTGAGATCATGACCTGAGCCAAAATCAAGAGTTGGACACTCAACCGACTGAGCCCCCCAGGCGCCCCCCAGAAATTCTACTCTTAATGGCTATGCCATCATTATTCTCTGAGTATTGGAGACTTGAGGACGTTCTACAGAAACATAAAGGTAAATCCCATTGTAGTGTGTATATTCTTAGAACCTAGGAATCCAGGTGGACTGAATTTTTTCTAAAGCACCTACTTCCCTGTCCCATAGCTGCATAGTAACTGGTTTCCTCTGGTTTTCATATGCTATGGGTCTGCAGTGCTAAAAGCCGCGTTGGTCATCCAGAACTGGTACCGAAGCTACTGTGCTCGGTGGAAGGCCAGACAGCGCTATGCCCTCACCATCTTCCAGTCTATCGAATATGCTGACGAACAAGGCCAACTGCAGGTCTGTGTTGCAGGCTTGTCTCTTCTTTTGGTAAAATGCTTCTCTTTACCCCTCATAATTGAGAAAAGGAAAGTTTGGGTCCATTTACCTTGGTGAAAGCTTGAATAGAGGGTGACACTGTCTTGGAAGTAGCTGTGGAGAGAGAGTAGGATTTGGGAAGAGGACGGTGTTTTTCATTTCTGAAGTTTATATTGTGAACAGGGCTGCCAGATGTCTAGTTAACTAATAAAAAATGATCTTACTCTGTTCTTGGGCACGTGTCCCAGGAGGAAGTAAAGTTGTTACTTTACGAAGGAAAAAGTATTTTAAGGAGTTAAAAAAATGAAAGAATTTCCTGAGAACAAACCTGAGAGAGTTCTAGAAGAAAATATAGATGGGCGAGGAAGGCCTTTTTCAAGTTTGCAAAAATGCTGTATAAATCCAGCTTTAATGCTTCTTAGTAGAAAAAAAGTCCTTTTTGGCCATTAAGGGGCAGGAGGATATATGATATCCTCTGCTTCTGCAGGAGGTGCTGCCCACCAGCTGAGGGAGGAGGGAGGCAGGTAGAGGCTGGGAGAGCGCCCCAACAGTATTTGCCATGGTGGCTGTTTGGGGATCATTCACTGACTAATGTATTTCTATTTTGTCCAGCTATCCAATTTCTTTTCCTTCATGTTGGAAAACTATACACATATACACGAGAAAGACCCAGGTAAGTAAATTGTTTAGTCTTTTGAAAAGCAGTCATTAAATATTGAATTGTCCTCATCCAGGGATGTAAACTCTGAAGATGGCAGGACACTAAGAAATTAAAAAGATGCCCACCTGTCTTGTCTTTGTGACACCAAACTGGTGAAATCAGTTCAAGTGGCTTTTTTCTCTGATTGTTGTTTACTAAATTTGTTTAATTTTGTCACTTTCACGAAGCTGAATTAGATTTCATTCAATGTTAATTTGTTGAACACCTTCTCTGAACCACAATCTGTTGATGTACAATGGTAGCTTTAATAAAGAGGATCTTATTTTTTTATCCACAAAACTTTCATGCCGAGAGATCAAAATAAACAAATCTGGGGGGACATGGTGGATTGAACACGGTTTTCTGTTGTCTGCAGAGCTAGCTGTCCATCTCTCTGTCTCTTTATCATTTATGTAGTCGTTCTGAAATGACTAAGTAAATCATCTCAGGGACGGGCAATGTCAGGATGGTTCAAAATGATTTTAAAATTATAGTTATTCCCAAGGCATGCATGCATTTCTCCTGCAAAATCAAGATGACTGTTGTTAACTTCAAGGTAGATGCTAGACTTAAAAACTTATTTTTCTTTAATTTGGGCCAACCATTTTTTGTTCTAATTAAAAGTGTATGGCATCCAAGAGCTCCTTTTAAATCATCCAGCGAGCATCCTTCACTGTGGCAAAAGAATGGTATTTTAATGGCATGCTTTGAGCTGAGCACATATGTATGAAACTAATTAAAGCATTTAATGATCTGTAGAAGCTTTCTAAATGGTAGAATAGCCAAACCTGAGGAGTGGGGAGTGGGAGGAAGTGGGTATTTTGCCATTTTCTTTCTTTTAGATAATTGCAATTTGAAGATAGTTGTTTGTGCTTCATGTTCTTTGGCAAAATATTTCTGAGAGGAAATATAATGATGATGAAATGAAGCAGCACTGTTTTTGCTAATGACCTAATATTTCGATCTGGGCTGTGCATCAGAATCACTCTGGAGATTCGTAGCCACAGATGGCTGGGTTCCAGCCCAGAGATATTGACTCAGGCTCTGTATTTAAAAAAATCTGCATGTCAAAAAATTCTGTAGGTGATTTAAAAATATTAAAAGATTTTATCAAAGAAGGGGACAGTGGTTTAATCTTCTTAGGTAAACTTTTCTTGAAGTGTAACATACATTAAAACACACAAATCTTAAGTACAAGAATCAATAAATTTTCTTGAAGTAAGCATGCCCTTGTAACCCGCACCCAGAACAAGAAAGAAAACATTATCAGAGCCACGGAAGCCTCTCTCCTGTCCCCCTCCAGTCACTTCCCAACTCCCCCATGATGGCTTTCCTGACTTCTACGTCCTAGATTGGTTTTGCTTGTTTTTGAACTTCACTAGATAAATGAAAGCACAGTGTTGAGTCTGTCTTTTACTCAATGGCGTATTTGTGAGAGTCATCCATGTTTTTGCAATTCAGTCATTCTTATTGCCGAATGATGTTCCGTTTTACGAATTTACCAAAACGTATCCATTCTATTGTTTATGGACATTTGGGTTGTTTTCAGTTTGGGTAATTTGAATGGTACTGCTATGCACATTCTTGTACATGTCCTTTTTGGTGAACATATATATCATTTTCTTTTGCTATATTCTCATTTCCAGTTATCTATTGCTGCATAACAAATCACCCCCAAATTTAGAGGCTTAAAAACAACAGCTATTTTATTGCTCGTGATTCTGTGGATCGGGCATTTGAACTGGGCTCAGTGGGGATGGCTTGTCTTCGTTCCATGCGGTGTCAGTTGGGCTCACTCAACCTCGCTGGGCTGGGTAGGGAGGTCTAGATGGTTTTACTCACCTGTCTGGGACTTTGGTGTTGGCTATGAACTTAGATACCTCAATTCTCCTCATGCAGCCTCTCTGTCTAGCAGGATATCCCAGACTTCTTTTCATGGTAGCTGGATCCCAAGAGGACAAAGGCAGAAGCTACAAGGCCTCTTAAGGTCTATTCTCTGGAACTCACATAAAATCGGTTCTGCCATATTCTATTGGTCAAAGCAAGTCACAAGGGCAGCCACAGATTCACAGGGGTTAGGAAAGCTCCATCTCTTGCAGGGGGGAGCAGCAGCGTTATATTGGAAAGGGATGAGGATACAGAGGGGCTTGATTCACTGGGGGCCATTATTATAAAGTTGTACCATGACCCCGGAGTGGAAGTTTTGGGTTACAGGGCATGCGTGTGTTCAGCTTTATTAGATACTGACAAACCTTCTTATAAAATTGCTGTACCAACTTATACTGCCACCAGTGGATGAGAGTTCCAGTGTTCTCTATCCTCTTCAACACTTGGAGTTGTCATTCCTTTTCATTTTAGCCATTCTGCCTGATATGTAGTAGTATCCCATTTCTGCTTTAATTTGTATTTCCCTGGTGAGCAGTGAAGTTGGTCACCTTTTTGTCTATGTAGTGGCCATGTGAACATCCTGTTTGGTGAAGTGCCTATTCAGGTCTCTTGCCATCCTTTTATTGGGTTAGCTGTTTTCTTCTTACCAATTTTTAAGAGTGCTCAAAGTATTCTACATATGATAATATGAATCTTTGTTAGATAAACATATTGCATATATCTTCTCCTAGTCTTTGGCTTTTATCTCCCTAATCTTTAAATGCTGCCTTTTGATGATAACAGACATTCTTGATTTTAATGTAGTACAATTTTTTTCCTTTTATGGTTAATACTTTCTGCATCTTGTTTGAGAAATCTTTGTCTGATATGAATGTGTGTGTGTGTGTGCGCGCACACAAAAATAAATACAGGAGAAACCTATAGGATAAACCAGAAACTAATGGCCTTGTTTACCTACAGGGGATGAGTGGATGTGTGGGAACAGGGGAGAAAGAAAGAATGGGAGAATGGAGTTGGGTAGAGGGCTGTGGGAGGAGTAACACTCCTCTGAATGTACCTTTTTGTAGTTTTGACTCTTAGAACCATGATAATGTTTCACATCCATTAAAAAAAAATTTTTTTTTTTTTAAGATTTTATTTATTTTTTGACAGAGAGAGACAGCGAGAGAGGGAACACAAGCAGGGGCAGTGGGAGAGGGAGAAGCAGGCTTCCTGCGGAGCAGGGAGCCCAATGCGGGGCTCGATCCCAGGACCCTGGGATCATGACCTGAGCTGAAGGCAGACGCTTAACGACTGAGCCACCCAGGCGCCCTCATTAAAAAAATTTTTACAAACAAGAAAAGAATGTATGTATGTGTATTTCCAAAATAGAATACACACATGACAAATGAATTTAGCTGTATTACAAATAACAGAATCACCTCTTGGAGTTGGGGAAGAAACAAACTAACCTAAGTAACATTGGAAAATAGGGCTTTAACTATAATGAGCCTTGATGATGCTTCATTTATATTTTATCCTGTGTGGGGTTTGCTTGAGCTTCTGTGATATCTAGGTTGATATTTTCCATCAGGTATAGAAAGTTTTTACCCATTAATTATTTAAAATATCTTTCAAGTCTAAATATCTTTTTCTTTGTGAATCCCTGCTTTTAAACTTAGAAGGCCTTGAAATATTTAAAATGTGGATCGCTATGCCTGGATTTCTAGATTTTTTTTATGGTTTGACTTTTAAAATTTTTAACACTTCATAAATTTGAGATTTTTTATATTAAACCAAAAAAAAAAGGAAATCTTGATGCCTTGTGGTTGAAAACAAAGAGCACAGCTAAAAACAAAATGTCCAAGTAGTTAACCAGTTTTTCCCACAATGTTTATTTCATAACGTATCTTTTCACCATGGTTTGTAGTGCCTCCTTCACCATGTATTCATTTAAAAAATATGTATTAGGGCATATTTCTAGGCCTCTATTCTCTTGTACATCTCTCTATTATAGAGTCCTAGAATCTTACCAATTTAATTATTGTGTGTAATGGAAAAATTAATTTGCAGATTACTTTTGTAGGTTGATTTCTTTTAAAAATTTTTTCCACGGGGCACCTGACTGGCTCAGTCGTTAAGCGTCTGCCTTCGGCTCAGGTCATGATCCCAGGGTCCTGGGATCGAGCCCCGCATCAGGCTCCCTGCTCGGCAGGAAGCCTGCTTCTCCCTCTCCCACTCCCCCTGCTTGTGTTCCCTCTTTCGCTGTGTCTCTCTCTGTCAAATAAATAAATAAAATCTTTAAAAAATTTTTTTTCCAGCTTTATTGAAATATAGTTGACATATAACACTGTAGAAGTTTAAGATATATACTACAGTGATTTCATATATGAATATATTATGAAATGATTACCACAACAATGTTGGTTAACACATCCATCACCTCACAGTTACAAGTTCTTTGTGTGTGGTGAGCCCTTTAAAAATGTACTCTCTTAGTAACTTTCAAGCATACACTAAGAGTAATGTTAACTAGGGTCACGGTGCTGTACATTACTGTGGGTTGCTTTCTGATGGCCTTCTTTGGTGGGAAGGTTCCACACAACATCCACCTAGGCCTGTTTTGCAGAAGCGCCAGGACTGCTAAGCAGGGTGTATTTAGGGACCAGAAGATCACTTAACATTCCCAGATATCGTCAGACTAATGGTTTTAACTCTGAGGCACAGTGTTAGTTGAGACATCCTGGGTGTTCCATAGGTAGGAGGTGATCTGGAAGCCATTCATTTCCGTGTCCTACTACTTAGTGGCTCAAACCAGTTTGTAGGACTTGATGGGGAGACTCAACGCATCCATCCCATAAGGTAGAAAGCCAAAGCTGCTGTACAGAGCAATAGGTTTAAACAGAGACTGGTGGAAGTGGGGAGTGGGATGGAGCGTGTGCAAGTGTTGTTTTGACTATCCTTTCTGCTTCCCAGATCAGCCAAAATGTCCTATCAGATCCAGGTATTTTATATATATATATATTTTTTTAAGATTTTATTTATTTGAGACAGAGAGAATGAGAGAGACAGAGAGCACATGAGAGGGGGGAGGGTCAGAGGGAGAAGCAGGCTCCCTGCCGAGCAGGGAGCCTGATGCGGGACTCGATCCCGGGACTCCAGGATCATGACCTGAGCCGAAGGCAGTCGCTTAACCAACTGAGCCACCCAGGCGCCCGGTATTTTATATTTTTTTGTGGCTATGGCCAGTAGGTTATTTTCCCCATGATATGTCCCCAGTGATTATTGGTAGTATTTAACAAGCCTTTGACTTATATCTATTTGTATTGTGCTACTATTGAACAATAGCATGAATGAACTTATTATTATTATTATTAATTATTATCATTTCTGGTATCTATTACATGTTTGCCATGTGCCATGTCTTTTAAGTGCTTTAAATATTTCATTTAGTCGTCATGACAAACCACTGAGATTAGTATTATTATCATCCCCTTTTGTTGGATGAGAATATTGAGGCTTACAAGGTGACCTCCCAAGGTTATTCATCTCAGCAGTGGTAAAGCTGTGGTTCAAACCTCTGCAGTATGGAATTCTCCTATCAGTTCTGGGAGTTTCTCAACTGATTTTCCTGAGTATGGATATTTAATCACACTGGGCACAAGTAACTTTATTTTTACCTCTTTCTATCCAAGCTCTTATTTCAGCTTTGTATTTTGTTGCATTGGCTAGAAATAGCAGAACAATGTGAAAAGTAAGCAGTGAAACTAGGCATCGTGATTTGTTAATGCTTTAATGGAAAAAAACATTCTTGTTGATTTAAATTTTTAGAATTCTGTTAAGGAGGTAGGCTTTCATTCCTAGTTTTCTGAGTTTTTAAATAATCAGGAACAGGTGTTGAATCTTATGAAATGCAGTTTTGCCATTTCTTGAGTTTATTATATGGACACTCATAGTTTTAATCCAGATTCATAACTGAGAAATGAAATAGCTATAAAATGCAGTTCAATTGGTGCTTTTCTTTTCCCAGCCATATCTGTAGCTTGTTTTCAAAGTGACACATGGGCAGTAGGGGCAGAAAGTGCGTGTGTGTGTGTATTGTTGTTTTTTTTTAATTATGGGCTTTAACATGTTCCCTGTCCAGTTTTTGAATTTGCACTGGGTAAAAGAAAAGATTATATGTGGGGGGTAGTTTTGAGATATTTTCTTTAGAACAACTTGTAAAGGTATCATTTGGTTATAATTCAAGATTTCATTATATTTAATTAGTTTAGATTCATGTTGACAGAATTGTAAATCAAACAGGTAAAGGTTCATTCAAATTACATGGTGCACAAATCTTTTCATATTGTTGGCATTCATTAAATTATTCTTATTAGTTATAATAGTTACAGCCCATACTACTTGCATTCGAATTGGTACAGCTTCTGATTGTTTTCATATATGACCCACATTAGCTACCCATATTAGGAAGAGAATCTATGTTATTTTTTTTTAAATGTGGCTAAAAGTCAGCAAAAGGATTATGATTTGATGTTTACTGATATTTCATATTGAGTAGTTTTGACTAAGAAATGGCTTAGGGAAATGGTGCTTTTTCGTATATTTATCACAGAACTTATAAGAAATGAAAGTGAACAAACATATGGAAAGAAGGGCCAGACCAAGCTTTTTGTTTGTTTGTTTTAAAGAAGAAAAACACACAGGTGGGATTACTCAATAAGTTAGTTATAAGATGATATAGTGAGACCAGCGGGGTTGTTTTTGTCTTTCTTTGTTGTTATTGTTGTTTTCCCAAGAGGAGCCCAATATTTCAGTGTGTAGAGTCAGGAAGATGTATCTCTAAGAACGGAATGGTATGATCATTAAGACAGTTAAGTAGAGTATTGAGGCTTTACTGCTTGCACGATGGAATCTGAGATAAAATTTACCAAGCTGCTCTGCATTTCTAGTTTTCAAACATAAAATGGAATAATTAAGTGATTCTCAAATCTCAAACCAAATCCAAATGAGAAAAATACACTGCGCTGGACCACACTGAAGACACACCTTATTATTCCTACATCTAACTTCTTATAAAACATCATCAACCACCACCAAAGAAGTGTTGGGGTGGGTACACAATAATTTAGAAAGCATTTTTAAATTACCAAATATCATGACTTATTTTAGCAAGTTTTTTCTTTTCAAGTTTAGTTCTTAACTCTCATCTCTCAGCATAACTGGATCATGAAAAAACATGCATTCTATCTACATCTGCTAACATCACACTTTCCAAACATGTCTACTCTAAATATTCAAAAAGATAGAAACTACTTGCAGAAAACTTCTGATTCCCATTGGCTTGGTAGCAATTGTTAATGAGTTGAAGAATACATCACCATCCTCTGTATCTGTTATCTGTTAATGAAATAATTCTGTGTATTAAACAACCACAATAGCTCAGTGGCATGTAATAAACATTTCTTTTGCCCACAAGTCTACAGGTTATCTGAGTACTTCTGCTGATCTTGACAGGCTTGATTTGGCAGTTTTCCTCAGCTCTTGGCGAGAGTTCACTCATGTATTTGGAGGTCTGCTGGCTAATGGCTGATCTGGGATGGCCTTGGCTGGGGTGACTCAGTTTTGTTCCCCATAGTCTTGGAGTTTTCATTAGGTTAGCCTGCGCTTTGTGCTAGTACCTTGGGTTCAAAAGAGAGAGCATGGAAACATTCAAGGCCTTCTGAGGCCTTGACTTGGAAATGGTACGTAACACTTCCACCACATTCTTTAGGCCAACACAGGTCATGAACCCCACAACCCAGATTCAAAGCCTGGGGAAATAAACTCTTGATGAGAGTAGCTGCAAATTGCATTAAAAAGAGCCAGGCTATGGGTGGCTCAGTTGGTTAAGCGACTGCCTTCGGCTCAGGTCATGATCCTGGAGTCCCTGGATGGAGTCCCGCATCGGGCTCCCTGCTCGGCAGGGAGTCTGATTCTCCCTCTGACCCTCCTCCCTCTCATGCTCTCTGTCTCTCATTCTCTCTGTCTCAAATAAATAAATAAAATCTTTAAAAAAAAAAAAAAAAAAAGAGCCAGGCTAAATGTTGGGATAGACAATCGGGGTCACTTTTGCAATCAGTCTACCATACCCACTTTCCTCTTTCTACAACCGAATTGGCCAGATTTCTGTTCTTGGGCTGACTTATTTTATAGGCAGCCTAGCAAGAAAGGGACCCTGGATCTCAGCACCTACTGAAATGGGCAGTGCAGGCGATCTGTTACACAGAAATGTTTCTCTGAGAGAGAGACCCTATGGGTATTTCTGCCTGTGTTTCATCATCTAACTTTATCTGCTTTGTTATCAAGAAGAAAAAGAAAATCATGTCAGGGCGCCTGGGTGGCTCAGTTGGTTAAGCGACTGCCTTCGGCTCAGGTCATGATCCTGGAGTCTCGGGATCAAGTCCCGCATCAGGCTCCCTGCTCGGCGGGGAGTCTGCTTCTCCCTCTGACCCTCCTCCCTCTCATGCTCTCTGTCTCTCATTCTCTCTCTCTCAAATAAATAAATAAAATCTTTAAAAAAAAAAAAAAAAAAGAAAGAAAATCATGTCAGAAAATCTGTTTTTATGTGAAAAGTGTTTAACAGGGGAAAAATTGAATGTTGCAGTTTAATTTTCTGAATAGCACAGATGTTTGAATCAAATGCGATACATTGTTATGTGTTCAGCCCGATTTGTAAAAATCTGAGATGTAAGAGTAGGCAAAAAATGTAGAGGTAGAGTTTCAGAGCATCAAAGTGCCTTGATTGCCCAGTTTTCCCTGTGTTTCTCCTTCTCCTCCCCACCGATGAACTCACTGCTTTGGTACAATGTCCACTCGGGAAGGGATGAGGGTAATTCATGTAAATGTACCTAATGATCTGAGAACAGATCCTTCCTCATGATTATATGTGGGATAGCTTGGTATTCATAACATGTAGCACAGTGCCTCATGTGGGGTCGATATTCAAGAAGGTATTTATTGAATTTAAGTATGGGAATGTTGATTCCCCCACCCTTTCTGTCTCTCCTTTTCCAGAATTAGTTGCTCGACTTTTTGGTAGCACCCTCCAGGACTGCAAGGATAGACAGGAGTATGTCTCATTCATAGACGTCCCAGACTCCTATAATGGTCCTCGGCTGCAATTTCCTCTCACTTTTACTGACATTGATTTACTTGTTGAGGCCTTCAAGCAACAACAGGCAAGTGGAAGCAGATACTGCCATGATTCTTGTACATAGCATGTGCTCAGTGACTATCTGTTGAATGAATGAATGAAAATACTATAGCGGGGGCGCCTGGGTGGCTCAGTTGGTTAAGCGACTGCCTTCGGCTCAGGTCATGATCCCGGGGTCCTGGGATCGAGTCCCGCATCGGGCTCCTGGCTCAGCGGGGAGCCTGCTTCTCCCTCTGACCCTCTCCTCTCTCATGCTGTTTCTCTCTCGCTCGCTCTCTAATAAATAAATAAATAAAATCTTTAAAAAAAAAAAAAAAGAAAATACTATAGCGGAAATGTACTCCCTTGGGGGAAAAGCTTCATAATAAGTGAGAGCTACCCTCTGCTTTGCTTAACCTATTAAATAGAAGTCTCCTCAGATGCACAGAAACTTCCTATCTATAGGCATACAGCATTTCCTTTTTCTGAGATATAATTCGCATATCATAAAATTCATCATTTTCAAGTGAGTGATTTAAGGGTGGAGGGATGGGTGAAATGGGTGAAAGAGAGTGGGAAATCCAGGCATTCCAGTTAGAATGAGTAAGTCATCAGGTTAAAAGTTGCAGCATAGGGAATATAGCCGATGGTACTGTAATATTGTTGTATGGTGACAGATGGGAGCTACGCTTGCGGTGAGCCCAGCATAACATATAGAGTTGTCGAATCACTGTGTTGTACCCCTCACACTAATGGAACATTGTTTGTCAACAATTCTCCAGTGAAAAATAAATAAATAGGGCACCTGGGTGGCTCAGTCGGTTAAGCAACTGCCTTTGGCTCAGGTCATGATCCCAGAGTCCTGGAATCGAGTCCCACATCGGACTCCCTGCTCAGTAGGGAGTCTGCTTCTCCCTCTGACCCTCTCGCCTCTCACGCTCTCTCTCACCCTCTCTCTCTCAAATAAATAAATAAAATCTTAAAAAATAAATAAATAAGAACGTGTACAATTCAGTGGTTTTTAGTGCATTCACAAAATAGTGCAACCATCACCAATATCTAACTCCAAAACATTTTCATCACCCCAAAAAGAAACTCCACACTCATTACCATTCCCTCCTCCCTCAGCCCTGGCAACTATTATTCTACTTTCTGTCTCTATGGATTTGTGTGTTTTGGACATTTCAAACAAATGGAATTATATAATATGTAGCCTCTTGTGTCTGGCTTTTTCACTTAGCCAATGTTTTCAGGGTACATTCATGCCATGGCATGTTTCATTGCTCCTTTATTGCACTGTCTAATATTCTGTTATAAGGATATACCACATTTTGTTTATTCATTCGTCAGTGGATGAACATTTGGATTTTTTTCTACTTTTTGGCTATCATGAACAATGCTTCTATGAACATTCACTTACAGGTTTTTGTGTGAATGTGTCCTCAGTTTTCTCTTGAGTATATATAACTAGGAGTGGAACTGCTGGGTCATATGGTAACTGTTTAACTTTTTGAGGACCTGCTAAATTGTTTTCCACAGTGGCTGCGCCACTCTACCTTCCCACCAGCGATGCATGAGGGTTCCAGTTTCTTCACATTTTTTGCCAACACTTGTTTTTGCTTTTGTTTATTCTTTTTAATTGTGTTTTCATTATAGCCATCCTAGTTGTCTGTGAGCTGATACCTCATACTGGTTTTGATTTGCATTTCCCTAATGACTGAAGATGTTGAACATCTTTCCATGTTTACTAAGCATTTGTACACTTCTTTGGAGAAATATCTATTCAGATGCTTTGCCCATTTTGAAATCAGGTTATTTGTCTTTATATTATTGAGTTGTAAGATTTCTTTATATATTCTGGATACAAATCTCTTACCAGATATATGATTTTTTTAAAAAAGATTTATTTATTTGAGAGAGAGAGAGCATGTGGGGGGGAGGGACAGAAGGAGAGGGAGAGAGAGACAGAATCTCCAGCAGACCCCCTGCTGAGCAAGGAGCCCAATGTGGGGCTTGATCCCACGACCCTGAGATCATGACCTGAGCCCAAACCAAGAGTTGGATGCTTAATCAACTGAGTCACCTAGGCACCCCTCAGATATATGATTTGAAAATTTTTTTTTCATTCTTTAAGTTGTCTTTTCACTTTCTTGATAATGTCCTTTGATTCACAAAAGTTTCTAATTTTGGTGAAGTCCAGTGTATCTATTTTTTTTCCTTTGGTTGCTTGTGCTTTTGTATTATATCTAAGAATCCATTGCCAAATCCAAGGTCATGAAGATTTACCCTTTATATTTCCTTTTAAGAATTTTATAGTTTTAGCTCTTACATTTAGTTCCATGAACCATTTTCAGTTACTTTCTGGGGGTATATGGTATGAGGTAGGGGTCCAACTTTATTTTTTGCACATGGATATGCAGTTGTCCTAGCACCTTCTGTTGAAGAGTTCATTCTTTCCCCATTGAATGGTCTTGATATCCTTGTTGAAAACTAATAGGCCACAGATGTATTGATTTATGTCTGGACTCCCAATTCTATTCATTTGTGTGTCTATCCTTATGCCAATACCACATTGTCTTAATTACTATAGCCTTGTAGTTAAGTTTTGAAATCAGGAAGTATGAATCCTTCAATTTAGTTCTTCTTTTTGAATATTATTTTGGCATTTGGTTTCCCTTGCAATGAATTTGAGGATTGGACATTTCCATTTCTTTAAAAAAAAAAGCCCATTGTGATTTTGGGAGGGATTGCATTGAATCTATAGATCACTTAGGACAGTATTACCATCTTGACAATATCAAGTCTTCCAATTCATAAACACATGATGTCTTTCCATTTATTTTGGTCTTCTTTGATTTCTTTCAGAAATGCTTTCTAATTTTCAGTGCACAAGTCTTTTTCTACCTTAAATTTATTCTTTGGTATTTTATTCTCTTGATTGCTATTATAAAAAGGATTGCTTTCTTAATTCACTTTTGGATTGTTTATTGTTGGTGTATAAAAGGACACTTGATTTTTGTGGGTTGAGTTTTTACTCTGTCACTTTGCTTTGCTAAGTTCATTTATTAGCTCTAGCAGTGTGTGTGTGTGTGTGTATTTTGAGACAATCTATGTACAGGATCATGTCATCTGGGAATAGAGATAGTTTTACTTTTTCTTTTTTGATTTAGATGACTTTTATTTCTTTTTCTTGCCTAATGCTCTGGCTAGAACTTCCAGTACGGTGTTGAATAGCAGTTGTGAGGGCAGGCATGCTTGTCTTGTTCTTGATCTTAGTGGGAAAGCTTTCAGTCTTTCACCACTGAGTTTGATGTTAGTTGTGGGTTTTTCATAAATGCCTTTCATCATTCAGCTAACACATTTAGATGACAAGGTCTAGGTGTTAGCTGTTGTCAAATACTTTTTCTGCACCAATTAAGATGATCCTGTGTTTTTTTCCTTCACTTTATTAATATGTATATTACATTGATTAATTTTGTGTGTGTGTGTTGAACCACCTTGTATTCCTGGAATAAATCCCACTGGGTCATGGTCTATGCTTCTTTTAAAATTTTATTTGCTGGTATTTTGTTGAAGTTTTTTTTTTTTCATTTTATTCATACAGGATATTGATGTGTATGTTCTTACGGTGTCTTTATCTGACTTTGGTATTAGGGTGATATTGCCTTCATAGAATGAGTTAGGAATTGTTTCCTCCTCTTAATTTTTTGGGAAGAGCTTAAGAAGGATTGGTGTTAATTCTTCAAATGTTCAGTAGAGTTCACCAATGAAGCTGCCTGTCTTGGACTTTTCCTTGTTAGGAGGTTTTTGATTACTGATTTAATCTCTACTTGTCCTAGATCTGTTCAGATTTTCTGTTTCTTCTTGAATCGGTTTTGGGAATTCATATGTTTCCAGGAATTTGTCCATTTCATCTAAGTTATCTAATTTGTTAGTGTATAATTATTCATAGAATTCTCTTATAATTCTTTTTATTTCTTTAATGTTGGTGGTAATGTCTCCACTTTTAGTTCTGATTATACTTATTTGCATTTTCTCTCTTTGTTTTTCTGTGTCAGTCTAGTTAAAGGTTTGTCAATTTTGTTAATATTTTCAAAAAACCAACTTTGAGTTTTGCTGAATCTTTCTATTGTTTCTTTGTTGTCTGTTTCATTTATCTGAACTCTAATCCTTTTTTTCCCTCTGCTAGCTTTTGGCTTAGTTTGTTCTTTTTCCAGTTCCTTAGTGTCAAATTAGGCTTTTCATTTGAGATCTTTCTTCTTTTTAATGTAGACATTTGCAATTATAAATTTCTCTCTGAGCATTGCTTTTGCTGCATCCCATATATTTTGGTATGTAACGTTTTCATTTTTGTTCACCTCAAAGTAGTTTCTAATTTCCTTTGTGATTTCTTCTTTGACCTATTGATTGTTTGAGTATGTTGTTTAATTTCTACATACTCGTGAATTTTTCAGTTTTCCTTCTGTTATTGATTTCAAGCTTCATTCCCTTGTAATCAGAGAAGGTACTTTGCATGATTCCGATTTTTTAAATTTATTGAGGCTTGTTTTGGGGCCTAACATCTGGTCTATCCTGGAGAATGTTCCATGTGTTCTTGTTAAAAAAAATGTGTAGCCTGATGTTGGGTAGAGTGTTCTATAGATGTATGCTAGGTCTAGTTGTGTGTGAGGTCTCTGAAGTCTGTTCTTTTAGCTTGTGTTCAGCTAGTATTTGATAGAGATTTCCTTGAACACCAGGAGCCAGAGAGAGAGAGAGAGAGAATGAGAGAGAGAGTGGGAGAGAGACAGAAGCTAAGCAAAGCAAAGACAAGCCTAGTCTTTGCAGATGGGCTCTGTGTTGGTAAACTTCTTCACTGCTTAGCTAGGCTGTTTACAAACCTATTTTAGCCTTTACTCTCTGCTTGCACTGAGCCATTTTTAAGTTACCTTTTTCTTGATTCAGCCTTTGCTTGGTTACTGTGAACTTTATTTTCCGGGGTTCTGTGAAAGTTGATTTTGACATTTTTTTTTTGTTTAAGTTTTCAGTGTTTCTGTGTAGTGATAGGACCTGTGAGCTACCTATTCCATTGTTTTCTCTAACATTACCCCAAAACCCTCATTCGTAGGTTGGGACCCTAAGGGCATACCCTAGGAGTAAGAGTGAACTATAAGTAGATTGTCTCTGTAGGGATTGAAGCAAAGCTTGGAATCATCTAATTCCTGAAATTAAATTGAGATTATCCTAGATAGCTGGTGTTCCTAGCCACCTGCCAAATGAAAAAGTAAATCCTCTCTGGAAGGAAATAGACCTCAAATTATTTCTTCAAATTGTTATGTACAATGTCCAGAACTTAATACAAATACTAGCCAGGCATAGGAGGATACAAGATTCATGACAGAAAACTGAGGCAAATAACAAACAACAGAAACAGACCAATATTTTGATAATGGCATTATCAAACTCAGAGTTTAAGATAAATGTGCTTAATGTGTTCAAAGAGAGAAAAGATATGACAAAAATCCAAGGAGCTATAACAGAAAAGATCAATAATTCTGACTTTATAAAAATGAGAAAATTATGTTGTTAAGGGAAGACTGAAAGGTTCAACATAGAATACAGTGTGCTCCCATTTGTAAAAAAAAAAAAAATAAGTATTATATATATTTTGATTTTCAAAAATTAAGATAAAATTTACATAACATAAAATAGATCATATTAAGGGGCGCCTGGGTGGCTCAGTTGGTTAAGCGACTGCCTTCGGCTCAGGTCATGATCCTGGAGTCCCTGGATCGAGTCCCACATCGGGCTCCCTGCTCGGCGAGGAGCCTGCTTCTCCCTCTAACCCTCCCCCCTCTCATGTACTGTCTCTCTCATTCTCACTCTCTCAAATAAATAAATAAATCTTTAAAAAAAAATAGATCATATTAACCATTTAAAAGTGTACAATTTAACAGTTTTTAGTATATTCAAAGTGTTGTGCAACCATCACCACTAATTCCAGAACATTTCATCACCCCAAAGCAAAACCCTGTACCCATCAAGCAGTCACTCCCCATTGCCCCTTCTCCCTAGCCCCTGGCAAACACTAATTCGCCTTCTGTCTCTACGAATTTGCCTAATCTGGACATTTCATATAAACGGAATCATATAATATGTGACCTTTTATGTCTGGCTTCTGTTTGCCAAAATGTATTCAAGATTCATCCATGTTTTAGTATGTGTCAGTATTTCATTCCTACTTTTAGTTGCATAGCATTCCTTTATATGAATATACCCCACATTTTGTTTAAGGGATTATATATTTATAGAATAGAATATATATATTAATATTACATATTCATATGTGTTATATTAATTTTTATATGCTTGCAAACGCATATAAATAGACTATGTTTTGGAAAGATAATGAAGACACTCTTAACAGTGACTGTTTCTGGGGACAGGAACTGAGGTCTGGGGAAGAAAGAAAATTGCTTTTCACTTATAGTCTTTTTTACTATTTAACTTTTTATTTCAACTGAAAAATGAGATTTTTCTTCATTTGAAAACTCGTTATTTCATACAAAGAAATATCCTTTAAAAGTACTATTTTCCTCCCTCATTGCCTTTAAAATAATATGAATATTTTAGTTAAGTTGCTATTTACTCTGACCATCTCTGTAACTGTAGAAACCAACATCTAAGTTAACTTTTTTGAATATTTAATATTGCAACTGTAAACACAATTATAATGCTATTTAGAGACAGCATTGTAAGCAAATACTGATGTTAGCTATGTGATTTTAGCCTATTGAAAAAGGAACCAGGGCATCTGGCTGGCTCAGTCGGTGGAGCATGCGACTCTTGATCTCAGGGTTGTGAGTTCGAGCCCCACGTTGGATGTAGAGATTACTTTAAAAAAATAATTTAAAAAAGTGAAAAAAAAAAAGGAAAAGAAAAAGGACCAAGAAAAAGTATTTTAACAATAGGAATTTTCTGTTGTAACATATTCTCAATGAATGTTTTTTTTTAACTTACTAAACAAAACAAAACAAAACAAAACTGCCTTTTCAGACAGCAGTTACTCTGATTAGTGCTACAAATGGACCAGAAAATCTGCAGTGGCAAATTAAGATAACACTGAAGCCTGTCTTGGGAATCAATAGACTAAATATGCAAAGTGAAAATAAGTATTGTATTAAGGTGTTTTACCTGTTCCTTCAAAATGGGGCTAAAGGAAAGTTCACATTCAAGATTTGACTCAAGTTGTGGATTGAATGGACTTAAAATGCTTTTGTAGGAAAAGTCTTTAGCAGTTCATTAGGTCTTGGAGAGCAAGGAAATATGGGTCTCTCCACCCATCTATATCCAGGGACCTTTCTCTTTCCTCCTAATTCTCACATTGCTTCAAATCCGGATTCCTGTTCTTAAAAAGTATACGCAAACAATGAATCATGGAACACTACATAAAAAAATTAATTAATTTTTTAAAAAGTATACTTAATCAGGGGCACCTGGGTGGCTCAGTCAGTTAAGTGTCTGACTCTTGATTTTGGCTCAGGTCATGATCTCAGGGTCATGGGATTGAGCCCTGAGTTGGGCTCCCCGCTAGGCATGGAGTCTGCTTAAGATTCTCTCTCTCCCACCTGAGAGGGAGACAAAGATTAAGAGACCCTTAATCTCAGGAAACAAACTAAGGGTTGCTGGAGTGGAGGCAGGTGGGAGGGATGGGGTGGCTGGGTGGTGGACAGTGGGGAGGGTATGTGCTATGGTGAGCGCTGTGAATTGTGTAAGACTGATGAATCACAGACCTGTATCCCTGAAACAAATAATACATTATATGTTAATTTAAAAAAAAAAAAGATTCTCTCTCTCCCTTTCCCTCTGCCCCTCCCCCTACTCTCTCTCTCTCTTAAAAAAAAAAAAAGTATATTTAATCATGAAAATTCTCTAAACTTAAATCCTGTTTTTGGGGTATGGGATAGGAAATAGTTTTGTCATTTTAATAGCTATGTGCAAATAAACATTTTAAGATACCATGAGACAAGATTGTTCCAAAGGAGCAAAGGATTCCATCTGTTCCAAAACCCATAACCAAAGCAGTATCTGAACAATATGTAGAAATGACCCCTCTGAGCCTTTAATAATTTAAACCAGTGGTGTCCACTAGAAATATAATCCGAGCCACATACATAATTAAAAATGTTCTAGTAGTCACATTAAAAAATTAAAAACACATTGGGTGTAAAGATTACTAAAATAAACTTTTAAAAAGGTGAAAATAATTTTAATACTTTATTTAATCCAACAGATGCAATCATTATCATTTTAATATGTTCTCAAGTTAAAAGTTTTTAATGAGACATTTTACTTTTTTACTTTTTCATACACTGAGTCTTTGAAAACCAGTGTGTATTTTGTACTCATAGCACATCTCGATTTCGGTCAGCCCCATTTCAAGTGGTGCAAACAGTCCTGCCCCATGAAGTGGTGTTAGCATCTGTTAAATTTGTATCGGCTGTATTACTTCGGGGATTATGTATTTGGAATATTTTATAATTTTTAAAAAAGGGAGAATAACACACTGGATTTAAAACAAACAAACAAAAGCCCAGCAGAGAAAGCGGAGTAAATCTGTCCAAAACAATGATGTCATCAACACTGTAACTGGAGGAGGACAACTGGATAAATAGTCATAATAGGAGGCAACGCAAATGGTTTATTTGGGTTTGGAATATGTTTTATATTTAGATTAGTATATAAATGCACTTGCTGTTCTGTATACTCTCATATCTGTGCACCCAGCATTGAGCCACCTGGGATTCTTGGCTCAGGGGTTCCTTGGGGCTGCTCCCGCTGCCTTTTGTGAGATCTGTGAACCCAGCGCCACCACCTGGTTGCCATCCCAGGTGGCAGGATGTCCCAAACAAATGCAAGGCAGCCCCACTTCCACAGTCGCTCTCTCCTTCTCTCTTTCTCCCGTCCTTCCTTCTCTTTTATTTATTTATTTCTGTCTGCCTGTTTCCCTGGGGCAAGGGAGTCCCTTTTTTTCCCCCTGACACTTCTCTTGGGCTCTACGGACCGAGAATAATCAGAAACGTTCTGTGAATGGGTGATGTCAGTTAAGAACAGGAAAGTATAAATGTCCTAGGAACCATTCATTCGTTCCATTTACAAATCTCTAGTGAGGGCTTACCGTATGCCAGACACAGTGCCAGAATAATCTATTTGAGACTCATGTAGAGATTATCCTGCAATACAGCTTCCTGAAATGGGCTCATATGCTCCCCTGTTATAGCTTTCTACGTCGTCATGCCTTTCTTGCCAGTTCATTATATATATTTCCTCTGCTCCGCCCTCACAGATACTTCATGCTCATTATGTCTTAGAGGTGCTCTTTGAAACAAAGAGAGTCCTGAAGCAAATGCCGAACTTCACTCACGTAAAAACTTCTCCCTCCAAAGAGTTAACAATCTGTGGTAAGTTTCAGAGCAGAGCTGCCAAATTAATATTTAGGAGCGTCTTGGTTCTACATCATTTGCTTAATGTGAAAACTGTGCAAATTGGACTGTATTAAGGGAAAAGTGTTAATATAGAGTTATCTATCCTGATAATACTGTTCCCCATCTTGTCTTTGTTTTGCATACCAGCTGGCAGGAATTAATTATGTGAGAAATTAAAGAACTCATAGCTTTTTATAAAGGCAGGCGGCATTTTAATACGGAAAACCACCCATGGGTGGAATGAGCCTTCTTTGCCCTCCGTCTAGCTCTCATTATCTTCGTTCCATGTTACTTTTGCTCGGTGCGCCTTCCCATGCCCTTTATGCTGGGAGACCAAAAGCCCAAGGCCGGGTGGACATTAAACTCATCTCTGTCCTTGGCTGCTCTTTTAGATTTTTCCAACTGGTCGCTGCAGCTTTTAGAAGAGTGGGAATGTCCCAGAAATCTGTTCCTTGTCCTTCTAAATAACAAGACTTGAGATTTTGTTATCGTATAGGCCAGCCTGGCAGGATGTTACTTCAAGAAACAGTACACATTGAAATTCAACACAGTTGGTGCTCAGCAGGCTTGCAACTGTCTGAGAATGGGGTGCGTGGAAGGAACAGCAACTCCCTTAACTTCTAATGAGGCCTTTAGGTTACAAAACAGTGATTGTTATTTTCCAAATCAATTTTTAGCCTGTGTTTCTTTTCCGCTGGCAGGTAGAAGTGGATTTGATAATCTAGTCAAACCGTTTGCATTGCTAGCGCCTGATAGTGGTGGTGGGGACTTAATGGAGCAGTATATGCCACAGGCCTGGACTCGCACTGCTGAAGCATCTTCACTGATTTCAGCCGAATCGGGCCGACGCACCTCTGCCTGACAGATGATGCAGCTCAGCAGTGGGGCCCTTTTATTCAAGGCCTCACCAGCTCTTACTTTGCACAGAGATTAAGACTTGGGGGTCATGAAGCTCAGGGAGCCGTGCCCACCCATGGAATCCATGGAGCCAGGGCTAGGTATGCTATCAGAGTGTGTATAAAAAGCCAGAGAGTGAGATCTGCTCCCACATGTTTCCAGTATACCTGCAGTTGCCATTGTAGATTTCTCTTTGGGTAAAAGGATCTAGAAGAGGATGTGAATATAGAGGGCAAGGGAGTCCTGGCATCACACAGTGTAAGAACCGAATGGTTCTTACTGGGACTAGTCTCTCACTTGTTCTTGCAGATGAAATTGAGGCCCAGAGAGGAAAAGGAAAGTGTATTGCCTTCCCTACATTCCTTCCTCCCTTCCTTCCTTTCTTTCCTTCTTCCTTCCTTTCTTTCTTTTTTCTAAATATTTTATTTTTTATTTATTTTTTAAAAGATTTTATTTATTTGAGAGAGAGAATGAGATAGAGAGAGAGAGCATGAGAGGGGGGAGGGTCAGAGGGAGAAGCAGACTCCCTGCCGAGCAGGGAGCCCAATGCGGACTCGATCAAGGGACTCCAGGATCATGACCTGAGCCGAAGGCAGTCGCTTAGCCAACTGAGCCACCCAGGCGCCCCAAGATTTTATTTTTTAAATAACCTCTACACCCAACGTGGGACTCAAATGTACAACGCCAGGATCAAGAGTCACATGCTCCACTGACTGAGCCAGCCAGGCACTTATCCTTCCCTGCATTTCTATGCAGTGATTCTTCCCCACCCCCCTGCCCCCAGGCTCACTCAGCTAGTTAGTGGTAGGGTCAGAATCAAAAATCAGGTCCTTTGCATCCCAGGTTAGGGCCGGCCCCATATCTGCTATCCCAACTTCCATCACGCATCTCTCTGACTGATGTGTCATTTTCCCTCATGAGACCAAGACTAGGGAATGGATTGATTGGACAGTTCATTCACTTAAAGATCTCCACCTCTTGGGCATTTATTTGCAGACATTTTCCCATGTAGCACCATGGCTAGAGGGAAAAGCCAAGGCCTGTACTTTCCCTTAGCTTAGGAATTATTATTTTTGGTCTTTGTAGCCCCATTAAACTTAGATAAATTTGGTCATCATTTAAAATTCAAAATTGGGGCTGTATTTTCAAAAACATCTGTTTAAGACAATACTAGGAGAGGGAGAGAAAGTGTGATGAAATTATTTTAATTTCCAGATGCATTTTTTTTTACATGAACATCTCAACATGCTGCATAGTTCTCAACACTCATGCAATATGGAAGGTGTCTTGGTCTCTAGTTATGTTATAAAAGATAACCAATTCTGCACTCATGTTTTTGTTTGCAGTGGAAATATCTCTCTGTGGCTGTCTTTCCATGATACATCAAGTTTTATCTACTGCTGTCCAACTAGAAGTTAAAAATACTTATATAGCTCAATTCCTAATATGCTGAAACCAATTCATTTTTTAGCATACCGGCTGTAACAATTTTGTCTCCCAAATCTTTGAAAGACAAGTCACCCTGAGGAAAATAAAATAATTTAAAATATATATTTAATTGATAAGAAGTCCTTCCGGGCGCCTGGGTGGCTCAGTTGGTTAAGCTACTGCCTTCGGCTCAGGTCATGATCCTGGAGTCCCTGGATTGAGTCCCGCATCAGGCTCCCTGCTCAGCAGGGAGTCTGCTTCTCCCTCTCCCGCTCCTCCCTCTTGTGCTCTCTCTCTCTCTCTGACTCTCTCTCTCAAATAAATAAATAAAATCTTTAAAAAAAAAAAAAAAGAAGTCCTTCCATTTTTATTTCCTTAGATTTGGAGTAAGATCATAGGAAAGCAATGAGATTTAAGTATACAACAGCATTAATATGCTCTTAATATTATAGTTGTTTTATAAATAAGTGCTGGTGATGTAGGACTTTTATTTTATTATTCTCATTATAATCGGAGTCTACTGTTGCATATATTTGGTTAATTTTGGTTGTGGGATTTCAAGCAAACCGAGGAAAGGTATTTCTATATTAAATTCTATTTGGTAATCAAGTTGGATGCAAAGAATAAAAATTAATGATCAGAGCCTATGAAAGATATTTTACCTAGAAATATTTATCCAAATAGGGCTTTTGACTAATATAGTCACTCTTAATTTTTAATTAATGGCTTCCTGTGTTTATATGGTTTCCCTTAGTTAGCTGAGTTTTATAAAGCCATGCTTTCATTTTTATTTCCTATAACTGTCTCATCGAAAGAATGTCAACTCACAATTTTTAAATTTTAGATGCTATTGCTGGAGCATATTCTCTAATACATGGCTTTAAATACATAGCTTTTAAAAAGCTGTGCGTTTAGCAATTAAGTGTATTTATTGATTGCTTATTATGTACCGGGTACTATGAGAGGCACTGGGGATTTAATGCCAACTGACAGATACTATTGCAGCTGTCCTGCAGATTACAGCGTAAACAATACCAAGTAATCGCTAAGAGCTTGAGTTTGGAGTGAGACAAAGTTGGGTTTGAATTCCAGCTCTGATACTTGGTAGCTGGGTGATTTTGCATCAGTTAACTACTCTGAACCTCCTTTGTAACCTCAGAATGATGAAAATAATACCCATCTGACAGAGCTGTTGTAAGGATTGAACAGGATAATTCATGTAAACCCTTAATGCAGTGCTTGGCATAGAGGAAGCTAAGCACTGCGTAAATGGCAGGAGCGGACAGGTAATTATAACATCAGACGCTGTCTCCCATAGGAAAGGGGACAAAAAGAGAGCTATGAAAACAAATTGTTGCATTAATACCATCATAGAGTAAACCCCAATGCCCTGAGAATACTTAGAGTATATTGGCAGCATTTCAGTTTCAAAATTCTGTAACGAAATCGGCATTTTCTTGTTTCCTACTGAATAGTGATTTTTCATTTGCACTCCAGGTGATTTGCATGGGAAACTGGATGATCTTTTTTTGATCTTCTATAAGGTAAATAATTATTTTGCTAAATAGTGGCATTTTTGTTGGGGGAGGCAGTCCTAGGGCAGATAATAACAACATTAGTTTTACTAGGGTTATGGACAAATACAGATGTATGTAACAGTTTTTTTCTAGGAAGCCGAAATATTTATAGAAGGATATCTTTTGGCTTTGTAACACATATTTCACCAAAACAATCTTTAAAAAATTTAATCTGGGTCTTTGATATTATGGTTATCTATATATCCAGTGGGATTTGCACCTGATTATATTTATGGTCTTTATCACATTGTAAATGTCTAGATGGCACAGAATGGGGAGGGGAGCAATCTGTTTTGTTTTTATTTTGTTCAGGAGTGAGCATGTTACATACCAGTCTTCTCTTCGAAAGCACGCTCATTATGTATGAAGGGAGTGCCCCACTTAGGAAGTTCCAAATTGCTCTCTTCCCTACCCTGATTCACCATCGCTGAGCTCAGCACTGTGACTCCTCTCCATTTGTTGGGTTTCGGTTGTGGGGGCCCACACAGAGGGCACAGAGCAGCATGGCTGGCATGGGGTTTCTCTGCATCTCTACAATGGGATTCATTTCTCTCTCTGAGCCAGCAGTGACAACCTGAATATTTGCTTCTGGGACAATGATCCTGAGGTGACCTCTGCCTTCATCCCTTTATGTCTCTTGTTGATCCCTGTGTCAGTCCCCACGGCTAGCATATTGAATAATTGGGCAGAGCATAGGTGTCTCCGGTGGTTGAAAGAAAATATATTCTGATTATTATGATGGCCAATCATTTCTACTCTTTGGAGACTGTGAGAGCTTAAGTAAGCCACGTAACCTCCATGAAATTCAATTTTTTATTTTTTGGCTGTAATATTCTTGAGCTTCCACCCCACAAAAGGCTGTCTTATGGATAAAATAACGAATATCCAAAAGCATTTTTTAAGGTAATAAATTATAACAGAAATGCGAGGTTTTAATTTCATTCATTTGGAGTGGAAGCTTAGAAGGGAATGGAGTGGGCCAAACCAGGAGTGGATGAATGGAGCTGGCACTTAGGACATTCAGTGGAGACTGCAGGAGACCTAAGCAAGGATCCAGAGCCTGGTAGCCGGAGAACCGGAGCAGAGGAAGTAGGAGGCTGCCCAGGAAGTTAGGTTGGTGCCAGGAAGTCCAGCCGAAGTTTTTCTGGTAGGGAGCTGACGGTGCTAGCAAAAGAACAATTCCTGAGATCAAGCCCAGAATCCAAGCTGGGCGGGGAAGGAAGAGAAGTCAGGATGGGCCAGTCAACTAGGAGAAATGGGAGGACGGCAGGACTGGCATGCTTTCTGAGCAAGGGAGCAGACAGGTTGGGGCAAGGGCCTTGGGAAGCAGGAAGGGTGGGAAGTTATTTGGGGAAGAGTCCTAGGAGATGAGTGTGTCCACGTTGGAGTCTAGAAGGTGGGTGGCTGAACAGAGTGAAAGAGAATATTGGAGATGAGGGGGTTGAGGATGTGGAAAGCAAGTGTGTTAAGTGAGTTGGCCACAGGACTGTGAGGTGAGGAGCAGGGGAAGGAAGGCTAGTCAGAGGTCATGGGCTGGAAAGGAGGAGGGGCTTTTAGCCAAGGCTGGCAAAATGTTGGTCTTTTAGTGGCTCTGAGGAGCATGTGAGGAGTCCATCAGCCTTCTTGGGCGGGGGGGGGGGGGCCCAGATTTCAAGAGGGAAGTCTTCTGGATGAGTTGAAGGCAGAAGAGAGTTTATTTACCATGAAATGGGGATTCTACTGGCCAAAATGGAAAGCTGTGGGAGTGGTGGGAGAATGGACTGGTGAGAGGACACTAAGGAGTCACAGTTTGGGGAATGAGATTTGTTTAACTCAGTTCATGGGGCCATATTAAATGTTCAGAAGTTCAATCCTGCTACCATTGATAGTGACAATTGGAGGAAGGAAGAGAGGGCAGGAGGATGTGGGGAACAACCACAAGAGAAAATCCAGCGATTACGTTTTTAGAGGTTTGGGGAGATACATAAAAGGGAAAATAGTTGAGTAAGTGAGATGGGAAAAATGACTTCTGAGGCATTTAGAAATGCAAATTTCTTGAGAGGTAGTTGAAGAGATTAAGATGTGATCAGGGAAAGGACTTGGGAGTAGACAGATGAGAAAAGAGAATTACAACATGTTCCTTTAACTCTGTCGGCAGAGCGGTATGGAACATATGAAACTGGAAAGTGCTAACGTAAAGACTGAACAGGAGGAGGTGGGTGGTAAGGAGTACCATAAAAAGAACGAAAGGTAAAAATATAGCATTCACATGAAAGCAAGAGGTATTTTGAGAGTTAACCAACGACAGTGTTCCAGAAGTGGAGACTGAGAGTCCAGCAGTGGAAGAGTAGGGCACTCTCATTTGGGAGGGATTTGGGGAGAGGGAGGTAAGAGGGATGTTTGGAAAATATGAATTCAAGTTTTAACAGGCGTGAGCGAGAAGCAGCTAAAATGCATCTCAGATGTGGGATAAACCATGCGCCACAGGATCTTGAAATTGCCTGGTTTGAAAGGGGAAACTGAGGGAGGAGCCACTGAGAACAGCAAGGTTCCACTGTCAGAAGCTGAGAAGGTGCTGTCATTGATGGAGTCTGAGAGGGGAGAAGGGCCTGGTGGGCCCGTGATGATGGCAAGCCACTCAGCTTAGGGGCAGCGAGGGCAGTGAGGGTCCGGAATTGCAGGCCCCAAGAGGAAAGGGCAGTCACGCGGGCATGTCTGAGTAAGCTCCTTTGCATGATGACCTCACTCGCAAAAGTCAGCATTTTGCCTTTTTCTGTTTCACTTTTTATCTGAAGTTTAAATGAGGAATATAGGAGGCAAGGGTACAGTGCAGCCTGAAACCAGACACACACACTGTTCAGGAAACAATGTTTGTACCGGAATACAAAGGGCAGTGACAGCCCCCTACTCAGGGGGCGGACTCCCGTGTACTTATCTTCACTTGGCTCTCCTCTGTGGTCCCAAACCGACACAATTAAGGAGGAAGGGTCTCTAAGTTCTTGAAATCGCTGTCACAAATCCAGTGAACTTTCCTCACAGGATGGACCCCAGGCCCTTACTCAAAGACCAGTGAACATTATCTCAGTAAAATCCTATCTGATACATTCTTGCTATAAGGAGGCCTGCCTGCTCCCCACCCCAGCAAATGAGGGAGTGGGAGGGGAAAGGCAGAAGTGAGAAACAAGGACAATGATGAAAAGTAAAGCTCCTACTGACAGAGAAGATCTAGACCTCTAAGTATGAGATAGGAAATGTGTACAGGGAAGAGAGTTCTATATTTCTCAGAAGTACCTGAGAGGATGCTTAGATCGACAAGCCTGCAGGGTCAAGAAAGTGTCAAGGGCTGTGGTGCATACTCGGTTAAGAAGTAGAGAGAACAAATAGCGCATTTTCAAAACCCTGAGTTAAAATGGTTAAAGTAATTTAAAAACACATTTTAGCTTTTAAAGGAGTAAGCTTCAGTGATCTGGAGATTTCATCTTAGCAGTACTTACAGTATGAGTGAGTATCATTATTGGGTCTTAGGTATAGGAGGACAAAAGAATATGAGAGAGGGGCGCCTGGGTGGCTCAGTCGGTTAAGCGGCTGCCTTCGGCTCAGGTCATGATCCCAGAGTCCTGGGATCGAGCCCTGCGTCGGGCTCCCTGCTCGGCGGGAAGCCTGCTTCTCCCTCCCGCCTCCCCCTGCTTGTGTTCCTGCTCTCGCTGTCTCTCTCTCTGTCAAATAAATAAATAAAATCTTAAAAAAAAAAAAAAAGAACATGAGAGAGAAAAAAAAAAAGAAGATTAGTTGAGAGAAGCATAATGGGCCAGGAAAGTAGATTGAGGGGGAAAGAAAGCACACCTTACGAACAAAGCAGGAAAAGGGGGAGTGCTGGATTTCTCTCTGTGGCCTCACACGGGATTGACAGCAGGTGTCAACTCTGACCTAAGCCATCTCTCAATTGCTTCAGGAAATGGTAGGGTTTCTGTGATGGCAGATGATGCTCACCGCAAAACTCAGTGCATTAACAGTGTGGTTTTGATTCCCGATTATGTGGAATGCCCTGCGTGCGGCCCTTTCCTCTGGTTCATCCTCAGCGGCACACAGGACTGAGGCGCCTCAGTGTAAGCCTCGCCCTCTCTACCTCCTACTTAGAAGCAGCTAGTGGCCATGCTTTCACTTACCCTTATTTTATTATGATTTGTTTAGTAAAATTATCATCTGATGTTTGTTTTATTTTTTCTCATTTAATTTTTCACCATGCATTTTATTCACATTCTGATTGAACTTGAATTGTAGGGAATAGTTTGGCAAACTAGTGTTGGAGATCTTTGGAGCTGTAAATCACTAAAGTTTATATTATGCTCTGACTGATTCCTCTCAGTCAACCCAAAAGAGAAACCAGGAAACCCCCAGGCTTTGAATTAAGGCAAAATTGATATTCATCTTTCAGTGGGTAATTCGCGGGGCCATTTCTTCCTTGTCAGGACTGGGGCTGGCCCAAGGCCAACCAAAGGCATAGCCTGAGAGGGAGAGTTACAGTGGAGGGTCCCTGAGATGCTTTGCCATTCTACTGTTTTCATCCAAATGGTTGGTTTGGTTCAAGACTCAAATCCTTATAACCAATCATATACAAAAGTGAGTCTGTCCACAAATTTATTCATTTAGTACACTTTTATCTGGTCCTTCCAGTGTTCAAGGCACTATATGAAAACTGTGAAGATACAAAGATGAATATGAACTTTCTTCATTTCACATGTATTTATTAAACCCGTTATGAATGAGGTGCTCTGCTAAGGGTTGGCAAGACAGTATGATGAAGATGCAGTTTTCAGCCCCAGAGACATCATAGTTTAGTGGGTAAGGTCAACTAGTAAAAAGACAAGACAGGTCAGGGTGGGACATATTAATGCTAAGGATAAGCACAAGTCTCCAAGGTAGCATGTTGGAGGGGTACCTCACCTCATGGGAGACTTCCTGGAGGAGGTGACATTTAAGACAACCCG